TCAGTTGTTGCAGGTAAATGGACTGTTTTTAACCTGCATTTGAACAGAGTCAGAAGAAGTCTGTCTCACATTTTCAGGAAGACTGTAGATTGTTAACCATTCTGTTGAACCCTGTCCTGTAAATACAGTTATGCAACAGAATCCTTCAGGCAGGTCTTTGGTGTTGGTCTTGGGCTCTCTGTGACACTGTGTGTGTTGGTGTCTGCAGGAGTTTGGGGCAGTGCCTTCTCCATCCTGTTTAACCGTGTGCTGGGGGTGAGGGAGACCAGGGGAGGCAGCACCATGGAGGAGGAGCTGGGTAAGGCCTGCTCTACGTTCACCTCTTTTCAAAACCATTTACAGCAGAATGTTCAGTGTCAGGTTTTCTCTGAACACACTGGTCCCTCGTTTATCGTGATGTGTTCTAAAAATAACCCACAAAAAGAAAAATGCGTGAAGTATCAGCTCCATGTTTTCAGGCTGTACAACCCTTCACTCGGTACTTGTTTTAAAAAGTAACCTGTTCCTTTACTTCTCTCTAACCAAAGTAACGTTACCTGTTACTTTTGTGCTACTGTTTTTATCCACCACAGTCTTTACTATCCACTAAAAGTTGTCAAACCAAGGAGACGCATTGAAACATGGTCCGGTGTGAACGGCCCTAAACGCTCTGAACCAATGAGAATCTGGAAACACATTGAGCCAAAGCGAAGCAGCGGCTGCAGAGTCCGAGACACTTTCCTCAAGTTTGACTGTTTTGATCCAGGCTCCAACGCAGTGTTTTGAAGCCGTTTACTTCGGGATGAGCGACACACATCACTAAAAAGTAACGTTGCGGCGGAAAATAAATGGCGCTATGTAACTAAATTGTTGATAGTTAACGCGTTACTTTACTTTGTTAGAAAAGATGGACTTAATTAAATATAGTTTCAATATACGGAATGTCCATTTTCATTTATTAAAAGTAACTGATTTAGGGACTGGAAATTTTGATCCTTGTGTTTTTCGGTTGAACTACTGTTATCAGTTAAAGAAGTATTGGAAAAGTCCATGATTTATTAATGCCTTTGACAGATTAGGGCCCTTTAATGATGACATGACATGAAATCTTGAATACAGCACAGTTCTGACATGTGATGACAGCAGCATCAGTAACTATAGGTTTAACAAACTCAAACTGGTGAAGTCTGTAACCACACGGTCCATGATTACACATCCCTCTAATGATTCAGTAACCACGACAAAAGCCACTCTTGTTTTTTAGCTACTGTGCGTAAATAAACCTGAATCATGGAGTTTTTCTGTGAATCTCTGCTCAAATATTTGTTGTTTGGTTGCTATGTGAAACCTGAACTTTCCTTCATTGGTGAAATCCCTGTAAACTCCGCCCCCTGCGTAGAGTATTATCCCCTTATTGTTGTGCGCGCTTTGATGCTAAGAATAATCTCCAGCGACTTCTCCTCCGTCTGATGTGACTGATGTGAAAAAGGATCAGCTCATGTTTGGCTGTTTGCGTCGGTGTTGTGTTGCGGTGACCTTTTTTCCATTGACTCACGCTGGAGCGGCCTCAAAGGTGCGAGAATGCAGCAGACGGACTGTGTTTCAGACTTTGAAAACAAAAAAAACATATCAATGACAAACTGGAATCGCACCTTGAGCCTGGGTTTACAACAGTGGGGGCGGGTCCCTACTGGCAGTGTGGGCGGGTCCCGGCTCAAACATGTCCAAAATGAGGTGCGCTGACATGCTGCAATACCACCCCGGGCCTGTGGGGGTGGACCCGGAATGAGAATCAGCCAACGCTAATGTATAGCATCTTCTGACCTCTCGAAAACGGCTTTACAGGGTTGTTCCAAAAGTGGCTCTTGGTTCAAAGCTCTGTTCCACATGTGTCGATGCTGAGGGCAGTGTTTTTTTTGGACCAGTCTAGTTTAGTCGCTGTGGACTTTAGAAGGCACTCGTTAAATGAATGGGGCTTATGCGTTTTTTCACATTTTCCTGTGGGAGGGGCTGCGTCCGTTAATATTTACAATCTATGGTTTACCTGCATGTAGTATTTGGAGCAGTTTGAGCGTCCTTCACGTCAAGTTCAACTGAAACACAAAAGGCCTTTACTTCATTGTGCATTGTTCCTCATCAGTCACAGACCTGCACTTGTTTTTAGCTAAATCCATCCTTCAAACTGCTTCATCCTGGGTTCCAATCGCGGTCGGAACAGGGTCTTTCTGAGTGGAGTTTACAGCCAGCTCCGGTTTCTTCCGGTTGCTCCAGTTTCCCCTACCACAATAAAAACATGTACAATGGTCTGCATGTTTGAATGGATGGTGTTTGGTCGGAGGCTTTGACGGACCAGTGTGTTCAGGTCTTGCTTCCGTCATCACCGTGTGCAAATGGAAAATAATCTGATTTATGAACACCTTTGGTTGAAGTGCTTTGGGTGACTTTGGTCTGTAAAATGCGTTATATAACTAAACATTACTTTCTTACTCACTGTCTCAAACTCGTACAAAGGCGTTAGATCATGTGACCGATAATTATAAAAGCAGAAAGATTTTTCCCCCTTGGGTTTCGCTCATCCTGGTCATCTCTTACTCCATTATAAACGCACACATATCCTTTATTATTATATGACTACGCGCGCGCTCTGATTGGCTGATTTGCGGTCTGATATTTTCCCATCTCGGACCGTTACCATGACGATCGGTCCGCAGCGTGTATCAGATTTGACATCTTTCCTCAGTAAAAAATAAATAATGAGCGACGACTGGGAGCATTCTCAGTGAATTATTTTATCCGGACGAGTTGGAAGAGCCAGAGGAAGTAATAACAGCAAATAACGATCAAAACACAACTTTTAACAGTGAAGAAGAGATCGACAACTTCGTTACAGACCAGAAAGGTAAAACCAGGACCAGGAAAACCAAGTGGGACATGGACATCACAAATATGTAAAAAGCATTGGTAAAGACACAGACTGAGAACTTACAGCGGGCGTCTCAATCCTCTGAAAAGCAAGTTCTTCACTATTTGACAGTTTGGTTGGTTGCATGTGTTTATGCTAGTTGAAACCGATTAATATTTGAAAAAATGAAAAATAGTCATATAATAAAACATTTATTAACCTCGCCACGGCTCGGTCTGTACAAAAAGGCCGCGGTCTGATATTTCTATGTACAGACCTCGCGCTCGTTTAATAAGCCGTTAATACTGCATATAAAACATGAGAGTAGATTGATAGTTTGATGGCAAATATGTGGTGCTGGATAATGATTGCGGAGGGACGACCATGGCTCCATCGGCCCAGAAGGACAGAAGGATTCGCTCCCACGGACAAAGAGGGCGTGGATCCAGGACTCAGACTGTAGAACAAGAGCCGAGGGGGTGCAGCCCACGAGTCCGGGTCCGGGGTGACTGTCCACAGGGGCAGATGGAGGAGACCGGGTTCAGGGTCCCATCATCACCATCATCCATCCACGGAACAGACAATGGGACAGTGGATGAATAGCAATGAACAGACTACAGCTGAAGTCAATCTGTGTGTTTAGACTTAAGGCTGTATTTCTAAGTCCTACCTACATGTACCTACCCATATGCTGAATGAAAGAGACTGTTTTAAGCGTCTGTTTCCTGGACGTGGGCGTGGAGCTGATTCCACTGTAAAGGAAAGCAGTAGTTCATTCAAATCATTTCTATTGTAATGAAGTGGCGATGGAATCTGTTTTCAGTGACAAGCTGCTGTGCTTTTTGTGAATGTTTCAGAGCAGATAAAACCGCAGCACATTGTGGGGGAGGACAGCATGGACAACGACGACGAGCCACGGAAAGGTGAGTCCTGCTTTGGACCAATCCCAAAGCAACGAAACTGTGAGGTCATTGTGGGCCGACTCTAAAGAAGAGTTTGATTCATTTATTTATTATATGTTTGTTTGATAGCTTTACGGCTTATGAACATGGCATTGGTTTCCTGTAACAATGCTAACAGCTAATTCTCAGACCTGGTCCTAAGACATACAAATACATCACATTTACATCAGATCCTTATAAAAACACAGATTACGAGACACAGTACAAAATATTTTCAATAGATAGATAGATACTTTATTGATCCCCGTTGGAGAAATTCAGGTGTCCAGTAGCAGCAAGAATAGAAAATAAAATGTATCATTCTAAAAAGTTGAAAATAGTAATTATCAGCAACAGCCTCAAGTCACAGCAGCAGAGGTGGAGTAGCCTCTGGGTGGAGCAGGACGGGTCACAGCAGCAGAGGTGGAGTAGCCTCTGGGTGGAGCAGGACGGGTCACAGCAGCAGAGGTGGAGTAGACCCTCGGGGTGGAGCAGGACGGGTCACAGCAGCAGAGGTGGAGTAGCCTCTGGGTAGAGCAGGACGGGTCACAGCAGCAGAGGTGGAGTAGCCTCTGGGTGGAGCAGGACGGGTCACAGCAGCAGAGGTGGAGTAGCCTCTGGGTGGAGCAGGACAGGTCACAGCAGGAGAGGTGGAGTAGCCTCTGGGTAGAGCAGGACAGGTCACAGCAGCAGAGGTGGAGTAGCCTCTGGGTGGAGCAGGACGGGTCACAGCAGGAGAGGTGGAGTAGCCTCTGGGTAGAGCAGGACAGGTCACAGCAGCAGAGGTGGAGTAGCCTCTGGGTGGAGCAGGACGGGTCCCAGCAGCAGAGGTGGAGTAGCCTCTGGGTGGAGCAGGACAGGTCACAGCAGCAGAGGTGGAGTAGCCTCTGGGTGGAGCAGGACGGGTCACAGCAGCAGAGGTGGAGTAGCCTCTGGGTGGAGCAGGACGGGTCACAGCAGCAGAGGTGGAGTAGCCTCTGGGTGGAGCAGGACGGGTCACAGCAGCAGAGGTGGAGTAGCTTCTGGGTGGAGCAGGACGGGTCACAGCAGCAGAGGTGGAGTAGCCTCTGGGTGGAGCAGGAAGGGTCACAGCAGCAGAGGTGGAGCAGCCTCTGGGTGGAGCAGGACGGGTCACAGCAGCAGAGGTGGAGTAGCTTCTGGGTGGAGCAGGACGGGTCACAGCAGCAGAGGTGGAGTAGCCTCTTGATTCGGACCGTTTTCTCTCCTTCATTAGTATTTTTCAAAAAGTTAGCTTCCTTCAGTGGATTTTCACCTGATCCACTTGGTTCGGACCATGAATCCTCTCTGCTCTGGTCTGGACCAGTGTAAAACCATGAATCCTCTCTGCTCTGGTCTGGACCAGTGTAAAACCATGAATCCTCTCTGCTCTGGTCTGGACCAGTGTAAAACCATCAACACTGTGCTGCAGCAACATCTCAGGTAGAAAAAGGCAATAAAAATAGAAATTCAAACGCACAAAACAACAACTGTTCCAGAGCTACTCAGGACTCGCAGACGTTTCCAGAACATTCCATAGACTCGTCTTGCATTGTGTTCCTTTTGAGCCATTGTTTAACTTTAAATTCAAACTCATTCAGGTCTGTTTAGGTCTGATAAAAGGAAAATGGTCTGGCTTGGATTCACATGCGGGCTTTACTTGCGTCATAAACATCAGCAGTGAATTCTTTGTGATAGACGCACGTTACAGACCCGAGGCAGCGAGCGAAAGAGAGGGTTCTGATCAGGAGCGGTGCATCATGGGGTCACGGCTCCACAGATAAAGACACTTCTCTCAAGCTCGCAGCACAGGAGCCAAAACTCCTACGTCGTCTTCTCTGCTCTCAGGTCTAAAACTTTGCTCAAAGATTAGATTTCCTTTTCTTGGCCACTTCATTCACAAGTGACCCAAAACAAGAATGTGTCTCCTCTGCCCCAAGGAGGAGCTAGGACAGTCACGATGGGGGTAATCGGTTCAATCCAAGGGTATCGAGAGCCCCGCTGTGTACTGGTCCGTCCTCTGCTTGGCTGGTTTACTGTCGTGGTAGTGCTTGGGTTTGAGACTGGCCTGGTTTGGGACTGGCCTCGGATGATCTCACAATAGAGAAATGTATAGAACGGGGCACCTTCACTCTTGTTCTACCAAAATGACTCGGTACAGCTGATTATTTTAGGTATTTTTAGATCACTTTGGCAAGGATAGCACAAGGGCTAGCTAACCCTAACCCGAGCTTGGGAGCCACCAGTAGCTCGCCACCCCCTTACAGGTAGCTCGCCGAAGGGTTTAGAAATGAACAAATAAAATAATATATTTAATATTTCAGATTGTGTTATTGGTCGACATATGGGGCGACAGTGGCTCAGTTGGTAGAGCATTGGCCTTCAGGCCTGAAGGTCGTGGGTTCAATTCCCACCTCCACACCTTCTCCACCGACTCCCACTGATGACTGCTGTCCTTGTGTCCTTGGGCAAGACACTTAACCCCACTTTGCCCAAAAGCCCCCACTGAAAGATCAAGGCTATAATGTATGCTATGCTCACACTCAGAGAGCAGCCGTCCTCCTGTGGACTCACCACCTGCAGAGGGTCAGTGAGGGGCTGGTGCTATGAGACTTGGGTGGCATCTCTGACTGCCACCCCCCTGACCCAGAAATGGATTAAAGGGAAGAAAATGGATGGATGGATGGATGGTGTTATTGGTCATCAGTATTTATTATTGTAAATTCTCTGACTTTGTGCACTAGTAACAAATATGCAATGATAGATATTGACTGTACCCAATATTAGGCTCGATCAGAATCAGAATCAGAATCATTTTTATTGCCACGTAAGTAACAGGAGGTCACAGACTTGGAAATTGCTTTGGCTCAGTGCAACAGTCAGAAAGAGATAATAAAAATAAGAATAAAAAACACTTCTAAAGAATAAATTTAACACACCAATATATCACCACATTTCTAACAGGGACGATTAAAGGAGTAGCTCTCTGCCTTTATCGTACCATGAAAGTAGCTCTCTGGGTGAAAAAGGTCAGAGGCGCCTAGGCTAGAGTCTCAGATCACATTGATGTATTTTTCTTGTAGCAGCGGGATCGGAGAACACAGAGGCTGAGGAGGAGTTCCACCGCACGGCGCAGGCCAGCTGGGTCCAGAGGATGATCACGTCCATGTTCAGTGACTCTTCTCTGTTCAACACCAGAGAGGGCCGCGCCGGGAAAGTGAGCAGCCAATCAAACTCATGAGGTCATTACAAGTGTGAGTGTGTAACGGCTCCTCTCCACAGGTGCACAACTTCATGCTGGGACTGAACCTGACCCCCAGTATCCCCTACAACCTGCAGTACACGTGTGAGGCCCCCACCCCAGAGGACGAGGTGGACGCTGTGACTGGTGAGTGATGAAAGGGATTGGGTTGAAACCATAGACCGGTAGATCTGGGCCAACTGCAGGCTGGGCTGACAGGCGAGGGACGAGGCTGGTCCAGATGGCTCCTGGAGACTGGTCCTCCTGAAGACCCTACAGAGACCGGTCCTCCTGAAGACACTAGAGAGACCGGTCCTCCTGAAGACCCTACAGAGACCGGTCCTCCTGAAGACACTAGAGAGACCGGTCCTCCTGAAGACCCTACAGAGACTGGTCCTCCTGAAGACCCTACAGAGACTGGTCCTCCTGAAGACCCTACAGAGACCGGTCCTCCTGAAGACCCTACAGAGACCGGTCCTCCTGAAGACACTGGAGAGACTGGTCCTCATGAAGACACTGCAGAAATTGGTCCTGGGACACCTCCACTGTGAAAGCAGCAATGGACCCGCTGCAGTTCGCCTACCAGCCGGACATTGGAGTTGACAACGCCATCCTCTTCCTCCTCCATCCCACACTGTCCCACCTGTAAAAGTCTCTGTCCCACGTGGAGAGGTCTCTATCCCACCTGGAGAGGTCTCTATCCCACCTGGAGAGGTCTCTGTCCCACGTGGAGAGGTCTCTATCCCACCTGGAGAGGTCTCTATCCCACCTGGAGAGGTCTCTATCCCACCTGGAGAGGTCTCTATCCCACCTGGAGAGGTCTCTATCCCACCTGGAGAGGTCTCTGTCCCACCTGGAGAGGTCTCTATCCCACCTGGAGAGGTCTCTGTCCCACCTGGAGAGAACTCTGTCCCACCTGGAGAGGTCTCTATCCCACCTGGAGAGGTCTCTGTCCCACCTGGAGAGGTCTCTGTCCCACCTGGAGAGGTCTCTGTCCCACCTGGAGAGGTCCCTATCCCACCTGGAGAGGTCTCTGTCCCACCTGGAGAGGTCTCTGTCCCACCTGGAGAGGTCTCTATCCCACCTGGTGAAGTCTTTGTCCCACCTGGAGAGGTCTCTATCCCACCTGGAGAAGTCTTTGTTCCACCTGGAGAGAACTCTGTCCCACCTGGAGAGGTCTCTGTCTCACCTGGAGAGGCACGGTGATGTCCCAGTCTTACATGGTTCTGGTTCTTGTCTCCACAGACCCTGACGAGTTCGACCGCATCAACGAGCCTCTGGACGTGAAGAGTAAGAAGATCCATGTAGTGGACAGTGGTCTGACCTACAACCTGCCGTACCCCCTCCTGCTGCGGCCCCAGCGCACTGTGGACCTCATCATCTCCTTCGACTTCTCCGCCAGACCCAGCGACTCCAGCCCGCCCTTCAAAGTGAGCACACACACATATTGGTCTTCAATCTGGACAAACTCATTACGATTAAGGGGCATTCAGAGATCCACACAGCACAAGATAAGTGAACAATAGCTCTGCACTGTTTCAAATAAAACTGACTCTAGCATCAAAGAACAAGTATAACATCTGTGAATGTGAAACCATGTGCAAATGGACTGAGACAAGAGTATAGCTCACCGCACACCGAAACGCAGCGCCTCGCGGCGCGTCATTTGACGCGCGTTCGTCAAATTACACCGGAACGCCTTGGCTAGCGTCCTTTTCCAGCTGATCGCAGATGAAATGGGTGAGTGACGTTTGGAAGTTTCTACTAATATTTTGGGGGAGGAAACAAAGTATTTACGTGAAATTATGCTGGCAAATATTACAAGAAAAGACTATTTGGACCCATTTTTTAAACAGGCTAATAACTAGCTCTGGGTAACGCTGTACTTGGGTTATCAAGCTTTCCTCGTCCATTGTGACCGGTTTACTTGAGCAATAGCGCCGACAAGTGTGTAAATTTGAGACCGCGCTCACAGCTACGTGATAAGAAGCGCAGAAGAAGAAAACTACGGGTGCTTGGAGGGACAGTTTCAGCCGCGGCGCCGCGTCTGGATTCAACAAAACTGAATCGTGGCGCCCGGTCCAGCGTCGCCGCGCGTCACTGCAACCTTGGTGTGCGTTCTCTCATAGAAAATAAAGGAGGCGGCTCTTTTGCCGCGCGTCAAGGCGTTTCGGTGTGCGTTGGGCTTAAGAGCCACATCCTGTTTGAACCTTTCAAAGATTTAAATGAGGAGAGGTTTTATGACTCAGATAAAAACCTATCTGAGGTCTGATCTACAGTAAATAATAAAACCGGATGTCACTGGTGCGTTAAAGTGAGCCTATAATCATCAGTTCAACCTTCAAGCAACCAAGCTATTTCTAATATATTACTTATATAACCAAGTGGGGTCTTGTGTGACGCCATACATTTTATAAATCTATATAAATGATTACTTCTTCACATTTATTTCACTCTCTACTATATCTATTCATCTTTGTATGTAATTAGGTATGGACATTGTATATGTATTTTACAACAACTGTATATGCTGCTCCTTCTCCATGGAACGTGTTGCAAAAAGACTGGAAATCATCTGAATCTATTTCATTGAATGCTTTTAGATCCAGATTGAGAGACTGAGACATCCTCATTCAAATGTGACTGTTTTTCTAATCTGTAATTGTATGTATCTGTGTGTAACTTTTGTCCAGGACTCCCTTGAAAAATATGTTCTTAATCTCAATGGGACTTTCCTGGTTAAATAAAGGTTAGATAAATAAAATAAAAAACAAAGCAGCTAAATTCTTGGCCTCCAGAGTCAGTCTCAAAGCTTGTGCAGCTGTACATCTTGCTATTCTAGACCTGGCTGTCCGGGCTGCCTACAAAACAGTAACATATAAAGCCCAGAGTTGGACAATTACAAAAACAAAATTCATAATGTCTAAAATGTCATAGATCTTCCTGGGGTCGTAAGTGACTCCACATACATTTGGATTATACTTGCCTCATGGATTGACCGAAACTCACAAAATCACAAATACATTGACAAATTCTTGGTCGGCAACTTTTTTACGACTTAAAATGTGAAAAATTGGAAGTTTCTAGTGACTGTGAGAATCCTGGCCGTGGCAACAGCTTCAATCACTCGCACATCCGTTTCTCACTGTTTTCAAAAGAAGTGTGTGTCATTTTTCCCAGGAGCTGTTACTGGCTGAAAAATGGGCTCGGATGAACAAGCTCCCGTTCCCGAAGATCGACCCCAAAGTGTTCGACCGCGAGGGGCTGAAAGAATGCTACGTGTTCAAGCCGCGGAAGGGAGAGAAGAACTGCCCCACCATCATCCACTTTGTCCTGGTCAACATCAACTTCAGGACGTTCAAGACGCCCGGTGAGTGTCCGCACACGTCCCGGGATCGTTTTACCCAAATGATGATGTGGCGTAGCGATAGTAATGGAGCAAGAAGGACCTGGGTTTGAGTCCACCTTCAGGCCTTCCAGAATCAGAACATTTGGGGTAGAGACTATTGCCTGGACCTAAATGGCTCAAAGACAAAAGAAATACTCCCACACTCACTGTCAACAATGACCCCATTCAAAACGTTAACTAATTCAATTATCTTGGCACCATAAACTCCATGACAATACCGAAATTATATTCTCTAAATGTTTCGTAAACTATGTAAACTTCAGGTTCGCAAATCTATTCTGTCATTTTTTTTACAAAAGCTTCAATGAATCAATCCTGTTTCGATATCAGAGCCTGGTCTGGTTCACTCAGTCTCTCACATCTGAATCTACCTCAATAAGGTTCAAATCCAGGCGACAGTGGCTCAGTTGGTAGAGCATTGGCCTTTGAGCCTGAAGGTTGAGGGTTCGAGCCCACCACAAGACTTTCTCCACTGACTCCCACTGATGTGTGCTGACGTTGTGTCCTTAGGCAAGACACTTCACCGACATTGCGTATAAGGAGTCTGGTGTGTGTGTGTGAATGGTTGGTGGTGGTGGCACAGACTGGTTGCTTCGCTTCTGTCAGAGTGCTTCCTGTGTCAGTGTAGGTTTTCCTCAGTGTTTTGCCAGTTCACAGCTTTTCTGAACTAGTTCAAGTTCAGTTCATACATGCTCAAAGTGAACAGTTCACGTTCAAAGTTCACATTTTGAATTAGTTCATTTTACTTTTTTTGTGAGATACTTAAATATTTTTTTCACACTACGAGCTATATATATATATATATATATATATATATATATATATATATATATATATATATATATATATATATATATTATATATATATATATATCTCCTGTACACCCACGGGAGGAGAGCCTTTTGACTACAAAACAGACCAGATCTACATGGTTTTCAATGGGAGCCAAACGGAGTTGCTCCATCTCTGCTCATAAACTACAGACAGTAATGCGCTGCAGTGCTGTGTCTGTACTTTATGCTCATAAACTACAGACAGTAATGCGCTGCAGTGCGTGTGTCTGTACTTTATGCTCATAAACTACAGACAGTAATGCGCTGCAGTGCTGTGTCTGTACTTTATGCTCATAAACCACAGACAGTAATGCGCTGCAGTGCTGTGTCTGTACTTTATGCTCATAAACTACAGACAGTAATGCGCTGCAGTGCGTGTGTCTGTACTTTATGCTCATAAACTACAGACAGTAATGCGCTGCAGTGCGTGTGTCTGTACTTTATGCTCATAAACTACAGACAGTAATGCGCTGCAGTGCTGTGTGTCTGTACTTTATGCTCATAAACTACAGACAGTAATGCGCTGCAGTGCTGTGTCTGTACTTTATGCTCATAAACTACAGACAGTAATGCGCTGCAGTGCTGTGTCTGTACTTTATGCTCATAAACTACAGACAGTAATGTGCTGCAGTGCGTGTGTCTGTACTTTATGCTCATAAACTACAGACAATAATGCGCTGCAGTGCGTGTGTCTGTACTTTATGCTCATAAACTACAGACAGTAATGCGCTGCAGTGCTGTGTCTGTACTTTATGCTCATAAACTACAGACAGTAATGTGCTGCAGTGCTGTGTCTGTACTTTATGCTCATAAACTACAGACAGTAATGCGCTGCAGTGCGTGTGTCTGTACTTTATGCTCATAAACTACAGACAGTAATGCGCTGCAGTGCGTGTGTCTGTACTTTATGTCAAATGTAAACGGTGTAAACTTTGTCGCTAACTCACCCTGTGTTTTCATCACGACTCGGGCACATGTGAAAAGCACCAGCTCACAGCGCCGCACCACAACACAGAGTCAGGGTGCGTTCACAGAGGAATTTTTAGATTTCGGCGGAAAAAGTGCGAGAATACAGGAGGGAGGAACTTTCTCTCGTTGCGTTTCAAAAGAGAAAACAGATTCCAACGTTCATAGTGATGTCTGCCGTTCATGACACATAAAATGAACTAATTCACGTTCAAGTTCTTTATTAAAAAAATGTGTTGCGTTCAGTTCAACGTTCACAAAAAAATGAGCGTGTTCAATGAACGCGTTCTTTTGAACTCGTTCATGCACAACACTGGTTTTCCTCCAGGTGCTCCATGTACAATAGTCTAAATGTGGTGATGCTCCTGTGTGTTCGCTGTCCCGCTTACCGTGTGGAGAGAATGAAAAATATCTGAACTCTAAAAACATTGTAAAGCGCTGTGGGTGACCTTGGTCTGTATGTCAAAGATTTACAGAGACTTAGGCGGGATCTTAAGGATTAATGCTTTCTAATTTTTCATTTTTTTCAGATAGAATCCAGACAGAGCAAACATTTTATACAACAATTTGCATCATGCTAAAGCCGCCTACCCACAGGTGTTAGCTAGTTCTATCTACAGTACATGACCTTAAAGTCTTGTGGTAAAGTCCCAAGTGCATTTTTTGACGGCCAGATTCCACACTCCTCCCTTTGACCACAGTGTGCATCTAACTTACTTTCTAACTTACATACTTACACCAGGGAGATATGGGTTCTGCACACATGACGTCCTGCAGGGTCCATATGTGAGACCAAAGAAGACCACACAACTCAAATAAAAGTAGGTCATAAGTATGTGGGATTCCTTCAGCAGACTCACATATCACCATACGGACTTGTGTTACTACAGGTAACCATGGCAACGCTCTCTCTCTGGTATGCAATAACCAGGAAATGAACCTTTAAGGAAAAGCTCATGCAGTAATTACAGTATAGTCTTATGGTCGTGTTCCCGGCAATGCAGCTCTTCCTGGAACTGCTCTGTTTTGGCTTCGGTGTCAGTAGTTTTCGGGGGGCCCCTGGCAGAAGGGCCCCACCATGACATGCTTCAGCTGCAGGAGTGAGCTGTAGCATACGTCATCGACAGAGCGGCGTTTTTATGGGACGTCCCGGGTGAAAGATGAGGCCACGGAGAGGGGAGCAGTGCGTAAACAGACCACGCATCACTGGACCGTACGTTTCTCACCGGGTCGACTCCCACATACGTCCTGGACCCGGAACGCGACCATACAAGGACTTCCTGTTTGTAATTAAGCGCTTCTTCCGCATGACGGACTTTCCACTGTCTTTGTGCGCTGACCTGGATACAGCCAGATCTCGACATGTTTGTGGACTAATGTCAGTGTTGCAGAACTGTAGGAATGAGGAGCAAACGGCACAAGATAAATTAATAATTACTCTGGACTAAAATATGCACTGATAACACTTTATTCAAAACCAATATGAGGACCTTAATTGCCGATACCGATACTAGTTCTGCACATAGACTGTAAATAGTACTGCTTTGTTATCCCTGGGAATTCATGAAACTAAACAGAAACTTACAATGTTTTAATTCTCATTTCAACAATAAGAAAACGCTTTAACAATTAGATATTTTAGCAATTCTAACAGTCAACAATAAGAGCCACTGTCATAGTCCACTCCATAGTAATATCTCTGGTGCTAGCAAAGGTAGTGCTGCTGTGGTGAGTTTTTTAGTCCTTCTGAGTGAAGTTTACATTTTCTAACCGTGCCTGCGTGGGTTTCCTCCGGGTGCTCCTGTTTCCCCTACTACTAAAAACATGTACAATAGGTCTGATTGTAACGAATGAATGGATGGTGTTTGGTCAGAGGGTTTGATGGTTCAGTGTGTTCCGTGTCTCGCTTCATCACCGTGTGGAGAGAATGGAACAATATCTATCATTTTTGGGCGCTTCGGGTGACCTTGGTTTGTAAAAATGCGCTATACTGTATAAATAAACATTAGTCCGCTTGCCACTAGCTTGCTTTCTCGCTGCAGACTTTGCTGTTGTGATGCTAATGTGAATTAAAAATGTGGGTATCGGTTGCCGGAATGGGGTCCTATGGTATGAGTACGAGTACAAGCCTATGGAGCCGATACCTGGTACCTGGTATCGGTGCATCCCCACTAAAATAGATTAAAATCTCTTGCTTTAGCATAATAAAGAAGCTAGTATAACATCTCTAGCTTTAGCATAATAAAGAAGCTAGTATAAAATCTCTAGCTTTAGCATAATAAAGAAGCTAGTATAACATCTCTAGCTTTAGCATAATAAAGAAGTGTTCAAGGATAACGTTTTTGCGCTTCCCTCCTCAGTGTTTTCTTCAGTTCATGAACAGACCATGAGTTAAGTCTTATTTTCCTCCATTTTATGTAATGTTTTTGATTAATATGATGGAGAAGAATCACGACATATGTCCCACCTCAGCATTTGTGTGAACGCTTGATGAGAGTGACATGTGACTGTGTTTGCAGGCGTTGCCAGGGAGACGGAGAAGGAGAAAGAAGCCGCAGACTTCGACATCTTTGACGATCCGGAGACGCCTTTCTCCACCTTTAACTTCCAGTACAACAACAAGGCCTTCACCCAGATGCACGACCTGATGGAGTTCAACACGCTCAACAACCTCGAGGTGAGACCACAGAGCAGGCCCTCTGCTCTGGGTTTAAGACCACAGAGCAGGCCCTGGGCTCTGGGTTTAAGACCACAGAGCAGGCCCTGGGCTCTGGGTTTAAGACCACAGAGCAGGCCCTCTGCTCTGGGTTTAAGACCACAGAGCAGGCCCTCTGCTCTGGGTTTAAGACCACAGAGCAGGTCCTGTGCTCTGGGTTTAAGACCACAGAGCAGGCCCTCTGCTCTGGGTTTAAGACCACAGAGCAGGCCCTATGCTCTGGGTTTAAGACCACAGAGCAGGCCCTCTGCTCTGGGTTTAAGACCACAGAGCAGGCCCTATGCTCTGGGTTTCAGACCACAGAGCAGGCCCTCTGCTCTGGGTTTAAGACCACAGAGCAGGCCCTATGCTCTGGGTTTAAGACCACAGAGAAGGCCCTCTGCTCTGGGGTTAAGACCACAGAGAAGGCCCTCTGCTCTGGGTTTAAGACCACAGAGCAGGCCCTATGCTCTGGGTTTCAGACCACAGAGCAGGCCCTCTGCTCTGGGTTTAAGACCACAGAGCAGGCCCTATGCTCTGGGTTTAAGACCACAGAGAAGGCCCTGTGCTCTGGGTTTGAGACCACAGAGAAGGCCCTGTGCTCTGGGTTTAAGACCACAGAGAAGGCCCTGTGCTCTGGGTTTGAGACCACAGAGCAGGCCCTGTGCTCTGGGTTTAAGACCACAGAGAAGGCCCTGTGCTCTGGGTTTAAGACCACAGAGAAGGCCCTCTGCTCTGGGTTTAAGACCACAGAGCAGGCCCTGTGCTCTGGGTTTAAGACCACAGAGAAGGCCCTGTGCTCTGGGTTTAAGACCACAGAGCAGGCCCTCTGCTCTGGGTTTAAGACCACAGAGAAGGCCCTGTGCTCTGGGTTTAAGACCACAGAGAAGGCCCTCTGCTCTGGGTTTAAGACCACAGAGAAGGCCCTCTGCTCTGGGTTTAAGACCACAGAGAAGGCCCTGTGCTCTGGGTTTAAGACCACAGAGAAGGCCCTCTGCTCTGGGTTTAAGACCACAGAGAAGGCCCTCTGCTCTGGGTTTAAGACCACAGAGAAGGCCCTGTGCTCCGGGTTTTTAGTCTGGTCTTAGGCATCACAAACTGGAGCTTTATTCTATTGTTTTGCAGAGGTAAAATATCAGTCACAAATACATAAATACAAATACACGGGAATAACAATGAAAAGTGAAAGCAAAGAACAAAAATAAAAATATCAACTCAGGTAAGAATCCAAATCGAGGGATTGAAAAAACCAGACATTTTGCAGCAAACTTTTGCCCAAACGTGTCTCAATCCTTCATGTTTGAGGCCCCTCTTCTCTTCTGCTGCGCTCCAGGCACAGACTCTGGAATAAGTCAAACATTGCTCAATTTTAGGAAAATGCCTCAAAGCAAGATTTCCAAGACAGGACAGAGGAAAATTATCTTGTAAAAATTAACCTAAAAAGATTATCTTGTTAAAATTATCTTAAAAAGATACAGAAATATCTTCTTAGAATGGGAAAAATAAAGCAACAGTTCTAGAAATCAGACTAAATGTCTTTGTCCTGTTGGGGATCTGGTTTAAACCATAGATATTAACGGACAGAGTCACGCCTATCTCTGCCGTTCTAACTAATGGGCCAAAAAATGTGCTCTACTGGAGCAATCCAAAATGGCCGCGAGTGGTCCCGCCCACAAAAAAATGGTGAAAAAAACGCATCTGCGCATGCGTCAGCCGGCGCAGCTCCATTCATTTAAACGAGAGACTTCAGAAATTCACAGCAAGTAAACTAGAGTGGACCAGAACACTCAGCATTGACACACATGTGGAACGGAGCTTTGGGCCAAGAGACAACTTTTGGACCATCCTGTAAAGACGTTTTTGAGAGGTCTGCTAATGCTATATGTTAGCATTGGCTAATTCTACTTCTGGGTCCACCCCCACAGGCCCGGGGTGGTACTGCAGCATGTCAGCGCACGTCATTTTGGACACTTTTGAGCCGGGACCCGCCCACACTGGTGTAAACACAGTCACTAAGTACACAGAGCATGTACACAGAGCATGTACACAGAGCAGGTACACAGAGCATGTACACAGAGCAGGTACACAGAGCATGTACACAGAGCATGTACACAGAGCATGTACACAGAGCATGTACACAGAACATGTACAGAGCAGGTAAACAGAGCAGGTACACAGAGCATGTACACAGAGCAGGTACACAGAGCATGTACACAGAACATGTACACAGAACATGTACACAGAGCATGTACACAGAGCAGGTACACAGAGCATGTACACAGAGCAGGTACACAGAGCATGTAAACAGAGCAGGTAAACAGAGCATGTACACAGAGCAGGTAAACAGAGCATGTACACAGAACATGTACACAGAGCATGTACACAGAGCAGGTACACAGAGCATGTACACAGAGCAGGTACACAGAGCATGTAAACAGAACATGTACACAGAGCATGTACACAGAGCAGGTACACAGAGCATGTAAACAGAGCATGTACACAGAGCATGTACACAGAGCATGTACACAGAGCATGTACACAGAGCAGGTACACAGAGCATGTAAACAGAGCATGTACACAGAGCATGTAAACAGAGCAGGTACACAGAGCAGGTACACAGAGCATGTAAACAGAGCAGGTACACAGAGCATGTACACAGAGCAGGTACACAGAGCAGGTAAACAGAGCATGTACACAGAGCATGTACACAGAACATGTACAGAGCAGGTAAACAGAGCATGTAAACAGAGCATGTACATAGAGCATGTACACAGAGCAGGTACACAGAGCAGGTACACAGAGCAGGTAAACAGAGCATGTACACAGAGCATGTACACAGAACATGTACAGAGCAGGTAAACAGAGCATGTAAACAGAGCATGTACACAGAGCATGTACACAGAGCATGTACACAGAGCAGGCACACAGAGCATGTAAACAGAGCATGTACACAGAGCATGTACACAGAGCATGTACACAGAGCAGGTACACAGAGCATGTAAACAGAGCATGTACACAGAGCATGTACACAGAGCATGTACACAGAACATGTACAGAGCAGGTAAACAGAGCATGTACACAGAGCAGGTAAACAGAGCATGTACACAGAGCAGGTACACAGAGCATGTACACAGAGCAGGTACCATGTGTCACGTACCATGTGGAATGAGAGTCATGGTGCAGCAGCAGATGGTCACCGCTGCACACGGTGAATTAACACGTTACTTTCCGGAGCGTTCCTCGTGACGCCGGTGCAGACGGAGTAATATGGTTCTTTGAGGCACGTTGTCAGAATATTTATGACCTAATATTTTATCACTTTTTGCCGTGAACTCCATTGATCACAACTAATCAATGAATGAAATCATTGTCAAGTAGTTTAGTAATCCTTTTTTAACCTAAACATGAACCGAGGTTTTATAACTAATAATTCTACAATGACTGCAGAACGTGTTTTAACGTGTTTTAACGTGTTTTAACGTGAGTAACAAGTCTTTTACGAAGACGTTCTCAGAAAAACTTCACATTCACTAAGTTTTCATTTAAACTATTCAAGATTCAGTCAAAACCAAATCAGAAACAATGAAAGGAAGCGGCTGCAGACTTTTCTTTGACTTTATCTTTGTCCGAGTCCCTTCCAGCGAGAGTCTGCTGCTGGAGCAACAACAAACTTCAAACATTCCCCTGGAAAAGTCTGAGGAAAGTCAGGAACAGGTTCAGACCAAGCTCAGGTTCTGTCGAAAAATCCACTGTCATGTCATTTTGAAACCAAAGGACAGTCATCTGAGGAGAGCGTCATAAAGAGAAGGATCTATTTTAGAATTCAGAAACATTTGGGACTTGAACAATTCACAATAATAATAATAATAATAATACATCAAACTGATAAAGGACGTCTTAAGGTTTGTAGTGAGTGGGAGAGAGGGGTTCTCTGGGTTCAGACTCGGTCCTCAGGGTTCAGACTCGGTCCTCAGGGTTCAGACTCGGTCCTCAGGGTTCAGACTCGGTCCTCAGGGTTCAGACTCGGTCCTCAGGGTTCAGACTCGGTCCTAAAGGTTCAGACTCGGTCCTCAGGGTTCAGACTCGGTCCTCAAGGTTCAGACTCGGTCCTCAGGGTTCAGACTCGGTCCTCAGGGTTCAGACTCGGTCCTCAGGGTTCAGACTCGGTCCTCAGGGTTCAGACTCGGTCCTCAGGGTTCAGACTCGGTCCTCAAGGTTCAGACTCGGTCCTCAGGGTTCAGACTCGGTCCTCAGGGTTCAGACTCGGTCCTCAGGGTTCAGACTCGGTCCTCAGGGTTCAGACTCGGTCCTCAGGGTTCAGACTCGGTCCTCAGGGTTCAGACTCGGTCCTCATGACTTCTGGACCAACGGCTCTGTGTTTTTATCGGTGCATTTCTTGTGTTTGAACTGTTTGATTCTCTGATCTGTTTTGGCAAATTCAACGGTTTTGAAAAGTCCTCCGAGATAATCTACTGTTGTGATTTAGGACTATGCAAAAATAGATTGAAATGAATTGAACCTGCAAATCGAGAAAACCTTAAATAAGTCATTTCAGAGTCATTTCAGATCACTGCAGGAGAAACAGGAAGTCCAGATTGTAAACTGCTCTGTGTCACTGACTCAGGGAACAGTTCTAACAGTTGCATTGTTGTCCTGCAGGTGATTAAGGACTGCATAAAGGACTGCATTGCGGCTCGGAAAGAGAGCTCCATGTGCGGAGGCCTCCCCTTCTCTCTCAGCGCCATCCCCAAAAAGAAGCTTTCCAAACGGGACTTTGAGCCTAAACCCTGGAACCACTTCAACAAATAACTCTGGACTTTCTCTGGACTTTCTCTGGAACCTCAGACTTGACATTTTTCTGCCTCTTCTTTGTCCTGGAGGTATTTGCACGAGTTGCAAAGTCTGCCCTCGGTGGGTTCTGACTGGGACTGAATCGTTCTCACTGACGTCACTTGATCTTCAGATGATTCTCGTGAAGATAGAGTTTATTTAAAAGTCCAGTTATTTGTGTGTAATTCAACTTCTGATGTGAAACTCAAACATTACATGCCTTTTCATTTGTTGTATTGTTGATAATCATGGCTCACAGTTTGTACAATCCCCAAATAAAAGAAAATTAGATTATTTTGAAAATGGAGGAGATGGTTGTCCTCATGGACAAGAGGAAACGTAAACTCACATTTTATTTATAAAGTGTTTTTTATACAAGAAATGCAAAAGTGCTTTACTGTTTAATTAAAGATAATCCCACCCAACAGACCCCCCCTTTATTATTGTATTAATTTGTTTTGGAAAGGGGGATAGGGTTAGGTGAGTAGAGGTTACATAAAGTGGTTAGGGTATGTGTAGTATTTAGTAGTAGATATGTTTTGTTGTGTCGGGGTGTGGTTGATTGTTAAGATGAGTATGAGTGGTTGGGTGGGAGTGTTTATTGTGAGTAGTAGGTGGGTGGGTTTTTGGTGGGGAGAAATTGTGCTATGTAGTAGGAATTTTGAGGATAATTAGTATTGGCAAATAGGGGTATTTTTAGTTGGAGGTTTAGGTGATGTTAGGTGTGTTGTGTGGTTGTTATGGGTGGATTAGGAGTTATAGTTATGGGTATTGTTATTGGAAAGGAGAGTTTTATAATTTGATGTTAATTGTATTTTGGGGTAAGTAGGGGGGTGGGGGTATTTATTGGAAGAATATTGTTAGTTTATAGGAGTTGAGTGGGGTTGTTGTTGGGATGTGATGTGTATTTTTTTGAAATGATGTCATTTCGAAGTATTGGTTGTTTTTTAGTTGTTATTTTTGATTAATAAATGTTATATTTGTTTTGGGATTGGTGTGGTAGATTTTGTTGTTAAATGTAATTTATTGGAGAAATGTAGGGGTTTTATAGATGGGTTGGGGGTGGGGGGGTTGGGGTTGGGATTATTATGGTGTTAATTTTACATGTATTGAGTTTACTTGATGTGCGAATGTGTGAAAGGAGTGTATTGTCATGGGGTAATGTTTATAGTATGGGGGAATTGAGTTATTATATGGTGTTTATGTTGGTGGATGGGTATATGGGGAAGTGGGAGTATGATAGATTGGAGATTGATTGGAGGGTATTAAGTTGTTTATTTTGAGGGGGATATTTTTTATTGGGGAATTTTGAATATAAGTATAAGTTTTATGTGTGGGGTTGGTATGGGGTGGGGGGTGGTGTTATTTTAATTTTTTGTATGATTTGATATAATTGTGTATGTATGTGGTTAATAATAGGGTATAGGATGAAGTGATTGAGTTTAATTGAAGAGTGAAGAATATGATGTTGAAATAATGTTTATTTATTAGTTTGATGTACTGGATGAAGTGTTTGAAAGGGATGGAGTTAGTGGGTTGGGTTTACATTAGTGGTGGGGGAGGTATGGATAAGGGTAAGTGATTTGGGCTTTAGGGGGAAAATGATGTATTTATGAAGGTTTTTTAATAATATTTGGATAAACTGGATATATGGGATATGTAATAATCTGGGGATATGTGTGGGGTTTGGGGGGTTTATTAAAGGTAAGGGATATTATTCAGGAAATGTTAAAATGGGTTGACTTAATGAATTGGTTACGATGCAGAACGAAAATTTAAAAAACCTCATGTCCATATTATGGTTAGTTGTGGTATAGTAAGTGATGCGGCTCATAAGTGATGAATTGGGGGAGGGGGGTGTGGAAGTGATGGGATGACAAAGGGATTTACTGACATAGACCTAATCATTCGTTTGAGAACTTATACGGAACTCTGGGGCTCTCTTTATAAATATATTATTTTCAAATAATTAATACACACAAAAACACTTGTAAAAGATCGTTGGTCCTCTGCCATGCAATGCTTCTTACTTATTGGGCAAATGAGAAAAAGAATGCTGATTTTAGCTAATTAATTGGGACAGAAATATGATGAATATGTTGGTTAGTGAATATCAATTGTTATTACTTATAATGAGGTGTTCCTTGATATTATAGATGGTATATTTTCATTTTAATATAAGTATTAGATTTCGTTTTGACTAGCCTTACAGAACGTAATTTATTCCCTTTCAGTTCCTTGCTTTGAAATATACGTTGGTTTATTTCTGTGTTCGTATATTTACAAAATGCATGAGACTGAAAGGGAATTAATTAAGTTTCTGCCGCAGCAGTATAAAGAAATCCGTTAATTTTGAAAGAATTACAAACCATATATTCTTTATCCGGATAAAGGGATTTATAACGTATACATGGGAGTTTCACTATCCAAATCCTGAGAGCTTATAGTGGCTGAAAATGTAATGAGCCTTAATCAGCCCTTTCTGAGGGCTCAGTGCCCACCAATCTTGATGATGCTTTGCATGGCAGAGAGACCAACGTTACTTGTACAAGTGTGTGTGTGGGTATTTATTTTTCGTAGAATATATTTTATGTTTAAAGAGTGCAAAAGAGGGCACAGAGGGCGAACTCAGTCATGTCTTCTGTCTAGCTCGGACATAGGACCAGTGGCAAAGACCCACAACCAGCACTCACACACAGCACCAACTCCACCTGCATCCCGCTGGTGAAGAAGCTCTTTACCGTTAAATCTACGTTCCCACCCACACTTATGGTCATGAGGGTTGTGTAAAGCGGGAATAGCTGAGTAACTTGACTGGAGAAAACATTGGCTAATGTGCAATACTGAGAAAGGTCATTGTTTGATAAAACCAATTATAACCAACAATACTGTTACACATGGTGTTCCCAGCAACGACTGTGACAGTGGTGCAATGTTGTTAACTGACATTAGTAGGATTGGACCACACCGTAAGACACAATGGCAAATGTAAAGAGCCAAAGTAAGAAACACATACTTTCGTAACACTTCCATAGCACGAATGACAGAGGCTTTTAGCCAGCGGCAGTGTAATGAATTTCTTCTGTTAAAAATATGCTTTGCCTTATGATGTGAAGCAGCTTATAGCATCCGGACAGATGCACTGTAAAGTGGGGATTCAAATTATGTAGCCATGTGCTGAGCAGATCTGTCATTTTTTTGGTAAGTTACATCAAACACTTACAAAAGAACATAACAACAAATATGGTAATAGAGAAGGATGCCGCATCTGCCAATATTCTAATTGTGAAAAGGCCAATTTGTCTACATCGGTCTGTCCCACCTCCCATTGATTTGAGCGAAATAGTCATGACAGAAACAAATCAAATGTTCGTCATTGGAATCACTCCCTCATTTCTAATAATTAGTTGATAGATAGACCAACACACACCCTGTATTGTTGTATGCAGGACAAATGGACTTGTCTAGCAGGTATATAAGTTATATGATTTGTTAGCATCTTTAAGGCTCGATCTGAAAGACCCATTTTTTGCTATGTGCCATATCACCAACACAATAAACTGATTTATTAACAATATGTGAGAATATGTAGTTCCTGGTTAAATAAAGCTTAAATAAAAAGAAATATATATGTGGTTATTCTGTCAGTCTGGTTCCCTATACTGTAATCTAGTATTTTCATTCCACACAGACTTAGATTGGGTAAGCCTGAGGGCTATTTATGTCTGCCGCTCTGATAAACCTTAATTAAAAACCAGACTTCAGCAGTGTTCTCATGTTTTCCCAGGAGACTTGTTAGTCCACCCAAACCACAGCTCCTGTCACATTAAATTATCTATCTTTCCTTCTTTTGTGATTAAGATCAAGGCTCATGTTATATGTCATGTTCAGATGTTCAGCCAGTCTGCTTCAACGAAAAAAAATATATAAGATTTGATAAGATAAGAATTCCTTATTCGGTCCCACAGTGGGAATTTCGATGTTTTTGCAGCATATAGGACAGTAGTATATCACACAGGGCACACCAATTATAAAAGACACAATAAGTAGTAGTCTATTTTTCTTAGCTAACATATCTATCTGTAGATGACTGAAAATGCTTCAAGTACCAGTCAAAATATATATATGTAGTAGTATACTGTAGTACTGTACAGGTAAATATAGTGCAGGATAATAAGTAGATAAAGTAAAGTGACGAAAGTGCTGTTCACCTATGGAGGAAAAGGTTGTTAAAATAAATCCTGGCAGAGTTAGGCCAAATAATTGTATTTCTTCCCCAAACACACAGACTGTCCATATTTCTACACTGGACACTCGGGCATACATATATGTACACACGAAGGTAACAAAAACGTATAATGTCTAGTTTAAAAACGTGTCGTTCACTTGAGACACTGGAAGAACATAAGAGCGTAAGAACGCTATGTTCTTACGCTCTTATGAAAAGTGAGAGATGAGGTTTGGTCCAGACGTTACCAGTCCAGGGTAGCAAATATCCCGATGCAGGTCATTGTTTGTATTAAAGGCCAAATACTGCTGACATCATGACCCAACATTTTTTGGAATACAACAGTAATCCAAAAATCTATGCCGTTTAGATGAAAAATTTGGATATCAGTTTGACCTTGTATAGGATAATCCACATGGAATAACGTCAAAGAGTGCAGTAGAGAATGAAAAGAGGAGAAACAAAAACATGTTAAAAAAGTAAGACATAGGCAATGTATGACATTTCTTCATTACAAACATTTGATATAAACATTTTAAACCAGGCAGTAGACAAACTTGGAGACAGTAACAGTTAAAAATGAAATTAAAATAAACCGCGCTGTCCTTAAACTATAGCCCTTGTGTCACACCAACGACCAGTACCTGTGGAGGAAGCAGTCTTCTCTGAAGGAAGACATGAAATTATAGTGTGCTGAGCTCCATGTTGTTTTAAGTATTTGGTTATCAGATTGTGTTTACAGTTTGTGGTT